TCCTATTTGCTAACTCTACAATTTAATATTCATAATTAGAAAATTTTTTGAAAGTCGTAAATATATTTTTTTAACCAAAGCCAACTTTTCGAAAATAAAATTTATTATCTCTAAAGTTAATTCGATTATATCAACTAAGGAATACTTACTAATGCTTCACTTGTTTTATTAATAATTTATTTTAATTTATACATAAGATATCTTTCCCTTTCCTCTACAGAAAAAATTCTCGCTATCATTGAGTGATATTGTAGACTATAACTGCAATTATTACGAAGTTATAAATATAGTGTATAATTATAGTGTATAATAATTAAAATAATAATAATTACAGTTCCAGTATCGATAAATGAATTCCGATTATATTTTATTAAAACCAAACTAGATCTCTAATTATGGCATATTAATCCAGTTAAAAATGGTGTCTTTCTCAACTCCATCGACAATAGATTCAGTTACGCATTCTGTTAACACAATTATAAAATATGTAGACGATACTTGCACTGAAGTGATACTTTAAGTACGAAATATAATACTTGAGAATGTGGATAATTAGAATGAAGAATATTAAAATAATAAATAGAAATCCTTACCAATATCTGCGCAGAAACAATAATAGTAAAACAATAATCTTGCATTAAAATAATAATATTAAAACAATAATGTTGTATTGTCAACACATAACTTTATTTAATATTATTTAGATAAAAAATATATTTCACTCTGGTGTTGACATGGTAAACAGAGGACGTCTGTTCGAAATAATATACTTTATTTCGAGAAGAATCATGTTTAAAAACTTCCATTATGCATTAAGTATTGAGAAATATTATGCATTCAACGATTTGTTCTCAACTTTTGTGCAACTAAACATGTTGACGTCTCAGCTGACTTTTGCGTTACATCTAGGTAAAAGACTCGTCTGGGATTCGGATTAACAAGTTATGCACTTGCAACATCTGAAATTAGATTGATAAATGGAAAAATTTATTGAGGATAAGAATAAATATACATCAACCTTTTTAGATACATTTTGATATTTGATTGAAATTATTAGTAATTTCATTCGCATCCTTAGTGCGGTGTGATATTATGATATCGTATGTCCAGCAAATGATAGAAGCTGTTTTTCTGATGTTTTTTAGATTTGAGAAGTTACCACTCATATCATAATCATAAGAACTTATAATCCATTGTATAAAGTGATATATAATAACTTCCATTATACACTAAGGATTGAAGGAGAGCGTCACATCTGGGTAATATACTCGTCTGAGATTCGGATTGACAAGTAATTCATTTGCAAAACCTAAAATGAAATTAGTAGATGAAACACTTAATTGAGTGCAAGCATTCAAATAAAACTGCACCTACCATTTTCAAGATATTTCAATATATTACTCATGATATGTTAGTGTTTCCATTCACATTCCCATTCTTTGTTTAATGATGTAATGATATGATTTTCTGCGAATGATAAGAACTTTATTTATTTATACTATTTTTAGATTTAAAAACTTACCAATATTTTTACATCTGTAAGGCCTTACAATCCATAATTTCGAAATGACTTTTTATCATGAGCTTAATAGTGAATATCATACAAATACAAGAGAAGTCTACAATTTGGTGACATACAATTCTTTTACTACTTAACGAATTTGAAGAGATACTTCATTTCAATATGTTACATTTTCACCTTCATCTTTTAATAGGACCCTTATTTAAATTAATAGTAATGTCAAAGTATTATTAAACTGAATCAACAACATATAATTTAGATGAAAGGGCCGAAAAGAAATTTTTAATTTTCACTTATTGAAACTCTTTAGGAATATGAGGAATAAAAAATTTTATTTGAACGGTTAAATTTTTTTCTAAAAATCAAAGGCATCTTCTTTAAATCTTAATACTTTACTGTCATTAAATTTGCCTAAAATTTTTATTAATTGTTCAGAATAATCAACATTAGAAAGCGCACGAGACATTCAATCTTGCTACAGGATTTAGAGCTTTGGCAATTATTTCCAAGAAACGAATATTTATGTTAATCTTTAGGGGTGAGAAAGTTCAAATGCAAAAGCATTAGTTACTTGGGTGCGATCATTGAATAGAACACCTTGTCAATATATATTATATCATTCATATTCATATTCATATAATTCATATTTTTCACAACGATACACGTAATCAAACTGAATATTGAGTATTCTATAGTCTACGAGAATCCTTCCAGCAAATCGCGCTAAGTTGTGTGGTTGTACACACTCAGAAGGAAAGCTGACAACTATTTATCGCAGTCTGCAGATCGCCCACATATTTGATATTACGATTTGTTCTTATTCACGCACTAAGATACGAGTATTTTATTTAGGACACGTAATTATTTTTGACATATAAGTATATATAATATTATTTAGCTCTTACTAGTTTATTTGAATTGGGGTCCATATTACTGAGTTCTTAAATTAAAACCTTCTTCTCATTTTCTTTCACTGACTAAAATATAATTTGAAATCAAGTTCAGTTTCTCTAATCAACTTCTTCAGGCTTATGTTAATGTTCATCACAGTTCTTATCAGTGTTTACCCAACGCAATTTCATCAACTTTATTTAAATGATTTAAGAAACACATTACTTTTTAAACGGTATAGTTGCTTGAGAATTACTCAGTGGAAAGACAATGATTAGTTGACAATTAATTTATTTACAAAAATTTTGACATAAATATACGAATAACATTTCAACGTAATCGATGTCAAATTAGACATCCATTGCAATTTAGACAAACCTAAAACTTTCCATTTATTTTGTTTTTGAAGTCAAGCGTTTTCTAGTACCGTAATCTGTATTTTATTTAAGAAAATCCTTATTATCGAATATAAGACAAGTATTAAACAAGCATTAAGAAAAAACGATTCTCGGTATCGCCATCATACTTGATAAACCTCGCTGCGATCCAACAACTCAATTTTCATATTGGGTAGTCACAGTCGAGCTTGGTCACATCTGGGAGTTTTATTCACAGGATATTAATTTTTCTAAACTGAAATTATCAATGAAAACTTATTATATTATTAAAAACAGAAGATGTGACAACTGACCATTAAAAGAATGTTTTAAACTTTGAAGTAATCCCGTTTCCACAGGGATTTATTCCATCTGTGTTAAACTTGACTGACATGTCAAGCTTGTAGTTAAAAAGCGTAATTGCTATTCTGTAATAAATTGAATGTTTATATAGCTTTTATAAGAAAAACTACTGTACCGTAAATACGATACATATGATCGGTATCGCCAACATAATTGATACACCTCGCTGTTATCCTACATCACCATATTAATAAAGGGTAGTCACAGTCGAGTTTGAGTCACATCTGGGGGAAGGTATTCAGTTTGGATTTAACGTATATGAGTTATAGTTGACATGAACGCCAATCATATAATTGAACACCTTAAGAAATTATGTTCTACAATTTTAAAAATAGTTTTAGTTTAATTTTTATAAGAGAAATAGTTGTGAACCTACTCGTCATTAGAAATAAAATCAGGATAAAATAAAATTGATCAACATTGGAAATAGAAGCATTTTCCTGAAATAAAAGTTTTTGATTGGAAGATTGATTTTTAGTTTTTAGAACTTACCAATAAAACCATTGATCAAGAGAATTGAATTGTAGGTTTTATAATTCCGAGTCTTTCCTTTTCATGGTGAACATGCTTTCACCTGGCGGACATTTTTCACTAAAAACAAATAAACGAGAAGACTTTAGATGCTGAAGTTTAAATTATTTCAGCAATAAATTTATTTGCATCGACTGTACTTACTTTATTTTTATTTTTAATATAATTTGTCAACATTTTAAATTAATTAATTATATTTTTCATATTAATAGTTTAATATGATATTGTGGGTAATACAGCAACGGAAAATTTTGATTGGAAGGCCAAAAAGTTTGGAAGGATTACTTAACCTAATTCCTAATTCTATAATTATATGAAATATAAATTTTTTTTGATTGGGGATATCAAATTTTTTGGAAAATCAAAGCTTTCTTTATTAAAGTAAATTATTAAAGTAAATTATTGAATGAAAATATATACATATAATGTTCCGTCTTGGGTAAGCTGGAAGTCAGTAAGGATAATATTCTTGGATTAATTGATAACCTGTTTCTGTGAAATGCGATCTTTACTGTTTTACTGTATATGGTATTTTTCATAAATACCCATAAAAAAATAATAGTAATAATAATTAACATTTCGAGAGTTGAATACATTATTAAAAATTTGTAATAATTAAATACTACAGATGTTTTAAGAGTATTAAACTACAAAATAAAAGAAAATACTCGTTTTTTTCATTACATAAAATGCAGTTTATTGTTTGCAGTGTTGTAATAAATATTTTTTTCTTGGACCTAGATACAAATACAGATACTTAAAAGAAAATGTGGTTTCAATATAGGTGTGAAAATTTAAAACTACTAAAAAATTATTTATTTTAACCACACAATACTATTAATTTCACTAGAAGGAACTTCCTCAGAGGAAGTAATTGTCTACTAGACCTCAAAATCCTTTTAATAGGAGCAGATGATACCTGACGGATTATTTACACCATTGACTATTACTATTATTGACTATTGATATCAACTGCTTAGATTTCGATTCTAGGTAAAATTATTTTGCCATTTCATACTTATTGGAACTCAATTTTTTTGGTAGTCTATGTATCAGGTTAAAATAATAACTATAACTATTTAATATATTTTTAGTTGTTTTTGGGCGATTGTACCTATCCATAAAGGGTAAATATACAAATTTCTTTTATGTAATTACAGATGTAAGTTACAGGGAATGATATATACGCAATTTGTAAATAGATACAATATTTTTATACTTAAAATATTCACATTACATCACGGATTATATATATATATTGTAAAATTTCTGATAGGTACAGATGGTATAATTATAAGACAAAAAAAAGACTCTCATTATATTTGCAATTGAAATATATTTTTTAAAAATATGTCAATAGAAAAAACAAATTTCATGCAGTCAATTGTATACGTCAATTTCGTTATAAGTCATACACTGGGAAGCGCTTATATATATAGCATCAAACACTTGCTCTGCTTACACCTCGTTAACCGAAATGAATGTACCATTACTAATCCATTATAGTACAACCAGCAGTCCTTCTTTTTTTGACAGTTTCTTCGACAAGTTTCAGAATAGAAAAGCTTCTTTCCAAACAGTTTGACGTTATAACATAGATATACAAATTCCAAACAATAATTTTTTTCAGTACAAGTACAACATCACATAAATAATCCTATAAACAATAGGACAAATAAAAAAACAAAAAATAATTAATATTAATCTTACCATTGCAAAATTTTAAGTAACTTCTAAAATTTTCTACCCAGGCTAATAAAAGAATTGAGTAGTTAGGTCTTGCTGAGATCCTTGGAGATATCTTTATAAAATAACTACAGAAAGATACATAACATCAGATATAGCATTTATAAATATAAATAAATTTAACTAAATAAAACAAAAATTTTATTTTAATAAGTTATCGTTGTCTTACCAAGGGCCTATTGTTAAACTGTGTTTAATAAATATTTATTCAGGTGGTGGTGGTGGAGCCGGTGGTGAGGGGCGTTTAACACATCTCTTCTTCGGGGTTTTGTCACCATCTTTAATATTTAAAAGGATTCATAAAAAAACCAATCGCAAGATAAAATAATGGCATTTACTTACGAAAGCATAGGTAAGCAATTAGCGTGAGCATTGCCTTTTCTGTTCTTCCTATATGAGAGCAGGAAAAAACTGTACGATTTTGAAGAAAGTCCCAAAAAAGTTGCACTTTTTGAAGGATATATAAAAATAAATATCCACTGTTACATTATTTAATAAATGAAAATTCTTAAAAATTATTAAACAAAATTTTAATCTTAAATCAAAATAAACGTTTACTTTGTTAGCATGAAAATTCAATAATTTTTATTATTATTATGTTATGGCCAGTTGAGTCAGCGCGCTGGAGCACTTTTACTCTCTATTAATTGCGAGGTTTCTTCATAACCCCTCTCTACGCCTTGTATAGATTATTGTTCATCACTTCATCAGACCAAGCAATAACTAACCTCAGATCTGCATACCTCCCCGAAGAGCCTGTAACCAATCTGAGATTCGATAACGCGGTACTAGTAAACCTGTCAATTTTCGTAAATAATTTCAAGGCATATATATTTATATTTTTCTATAAAAATTTATTAAAGCTATTATTAAGTTTACACTGCACCACAAACCTTAGCACTCTAAATTTTTTTATGACCTTCGTGTATAGTTCCAAGAAAATAAATTATTTTATTATGCTATGTATGTATGTATTTAATGAAATGAACTTTCTTTATATGAAGGAAATAAAAATTATAAATATTTTTTACCAAAAAAATGGTTAAAATTAATTGTTAACCACTTCCGCAATCACTTACTTCTGCACTCAAAATCTATGTTGTGTCAATAACTTCATAGAATATAATTAGATCCATACCTATAAACAAATCCTAACCTTAACTATGCAATTGTACAATACAAGCTATGCACTCCTCATAATATCCATAGGGCAGACGTGTTTCTCTTAAAATATGCTATTTTAAATCATATTGATTATGTCACGCCCACTTTACTTTCAACATTGCATAAAAAAAGTCCTGTAGATACTTAACATACTTTTGCTTTCCACACGTGTTTTATTTGGTATGAAGATACTTATTTTGAAGCTGGCGCCAACCACTTAAACGCCTCCTTGTCAAGGATAACATTTCGTAGTTTCGTTTAAGCAATTAGGCATGACTTGACGCTTCTTGTATTCAGTCAAAGTATTTTGTTTATATGTATTGGTTTACTCAAATTTTCCTTATTTGGTTCAATAAACATACTAATATCCTTAATATCTTCAAAATGCTTGCAACGGTACTGTGACTGTCCTGCCTGGAATGTTTGGGATGCATATGTTAAAGAATATGCTGGAGATATTCTCAAGAGGGTGTTTATTGTTTTAAGTGACATTTTAATTGGTATTTATTGCTGCTTAAGTTGTGGAATCTTGTCAAATTTTTTCACCTCATATATTAGGCAATTTGTGGTTAAGAAATAATAAATTGAACTTCAACTATTGAGAACCGTAAAATAAAATTAAATATATATGAATGCCCAAAAATAGGAATTATCTTCTCTTTGAAATGGTTTTTCTTCTTTATTTTATGTCCTCTAATATAAGATAGATAAAGATAAAATAAGAAAAATATTTCATCTTAAAATACTGAACTAGATTACTCTGAGGAGATCAGTACCTTAATTTCCTTATTAAAATATTTGATATTGCAGTTCATATGTCGTAAAACCATTCAAGTTTTAAAGTGACGCGCGACAACATTCGCCTACCAAACGAAACCTATATTTTAAAAAAAATCTTCTTTAAATCTTCATTTTAAAAATATACTATATACTAAAAATATACGTACTATGTTATGTTATGTTATATCACAAGAGCAGCTCTTGACTAAATCAATGAGTTTAATTTACCAAGAGCAATGTAATGAAGGCATATGAATTTAATGAATGTTATTAAGTCGATTCTTCACATCAATTCTTAGTAACGAGCGAATAATCTCTTCATCAATCCATAGCTTTACTAGAAATACCATCAAACTATATACTATTTTTAAATGAGAATCTACTAAGTAAAGCCTGTTGAATCTAATGATGACTTGTAGTATTATAAAACCAGTTTTTAAAATTTTTCATGATATAATGAATCACCTTCATCAAAAAGAAAACACAATCAAAAACCCAATGTTACACAAACTTCTGGGACAGTGTTGGAAAAGACAGTTTGTATTTAGGGAAAAACAAAGGATACTTATAAAAATAATGCACTATTGATTAAATTTACAGTCAAAGCAATATTTTACTTATCCTAATCGTTTCATTAAATGTTCTTGGGAAAGGGTGATGAAACAATTGATGGTTACTTCAAATAAGTAGATAAATACAATCTTATGACAAAAGTTGCAAAGCATTGAAAAAAATATATCAATCTACAATCAAAAACAAGAATTAATGGAAAATATAAATATTTTTTTATTGTTAGGATGCATAGGTCAATATTGATAAATTAAATCATTTGAATCTGAGTATGAGAATCGCTTCTCAGCACCGTTACCGTGCACCGTCCCCAGTATACATTCTACTGATTACTTACATAATGAGTTTGATCTCTTTATTATCTCAGACAATATTTCATGCTATTGAGTTAGCGAATTTCAAAAAAAAACTTGCGAGATAAAAATAGCTGAAAATTTTTTTACTAATTATAACTTTATGATAAATTTTACTTTTATTTGTAATCATATAATAATAAATACTGTAATAATAATAATTGATTTGCTATTTCATTAAGATTACTAACTTCAAACACCTTAACAGTGATTGCAGTGATCCTATAGAAACAGTTTTTTACTGAATATACATTAAGACCGAAAAGTTTTCGGAAATTCTCATTTAAAATTCGCGCGCTGTATATTTTTCGATATTTTGTTTATGTAGTTTGGCAGCACTGTCCTTAATTACTATGCCAAAAATGAGCGCGATCTGTCAGACAGTTCGTTTACGGCAGCTGTTGAAACCAGTTCACCTCAGTAGGGCGTTGCGAAAAAAACAATGGAAAAAAATATTGAACAAAGAGTTTGCATCAAATTTTGTGTTTCGAACGAAATTTCGTGTGCAGAATCGTTGCGAATGCTACAAAAGGCTTATGGGGAATCAGTTTTATCGAAAACTCAAGTTTATGAGTGGTACAAAGCCTTCCAGGACGGTCGTACGACCGTCGAAGACATTTCGCAACGCACTACTGAGGTGAACTGGTTTCAACAGCTGCCGTAAACGAACTGTCTGACAGATCGAGCTCATTTTTGGCATAGTAATTAAGGACAGTGCTGCCAAACTACATAAACTTAAAATATCGAAAAATATACAGCGCGCGAATTTTAAATGAGAATTTCCGAAAACTTTTCAGTCTTAATGTATATAATTGCTATATTCAAGAACCTTTTAGTTCAACAATAAGAAAATAAATATCTTTTCCGAAAAATAATTTTATAAATTAAAATAATTGAAATAATTTATATTGTGCATAGAAAGCAAAAACATATATCAACTATTGGCCTATTAACTAGTAAGAAGCATATTTTCTTGAATTTGATTGAAGTTCTGATTAATCCAAAAAGCAGGAAGACAGCAAAACTCATTAATTAGAAAAACAAATTTTTGGTCAATTTCTAAGAAAATTAATTTTAATTATAGGGTATCTGGGTCTCTGATTTGCATTGAATCTTCATTAGATAATTCTAATATTTTCAGAAAAAGTTTGTAATGAAATATTATATATTTCATACAAATCACTTCAAAAAGTTCATCTAGGATTGAAAGAATATATAATACTAATTTTTTTCAATATATTTAATATGTTTTTATTTGTTAATCTATTAAATTCATATATTATTTAATGATGAAACATAATATTAAGTTTCTTCAATATATTCAACACATGTTTATTTGTTAATCTTTTAATCTCATATTTTATTTAATGTCACACAATAATTAAATTATTAAATTAATTGATGTATTATCAATTTATATATAAAAAAATGTATTTCTTCAAATCGCTAAACTGTATAATGTTGATCAAATTAAAGAGCAATCACCTTAAAAAATATTGATTTATATAAAAACTAATTTATTTTTAATAAAAAGATTTGTTAGCACTTGTAAAACAGAAGAAAGTATATGAATACTGAAATATTCATATGAAATCAAATTATATTAAAAAATAAACGAAACGCCCACAAGAGCTAAAAATGTTTTCGAAAAAGTGAACTCAAGAGCATTTTCACATACCGTACATTTTCACATTTTTAAAAAAGAAAAGTATCTTTATTTATGTTGATATGTACAGAAATCTGTCTAAACCAATTAAAACGATGCACTAAATTTAGAACTGAAACAAGCGAAGATATGGAAATGAACGTTGCAGACGCGATCTCTGAGATACAAAAAAAGGAGGTGCATGTGTGTTGCATGTGAGCCAACGAATAGCATTTGGAATATTTAAAGATTTGAATGATCCACACACATTAACTTCACTGTTTTCAATTATTTCAAGAAAATCTGGTATCCAAGCAGGAAAGGGGGAAAATCCTATT